CCCAGAACGCGTTTTGTTTGAGGGCTCGACAGAAGGTTCGCCGTGCTAGTGAGTTTTTCGAGGAATAAGGGATATTCTAATACTCGTTTATTACCAAGGACGCTAAGCTCTAGGCTAATAAGATGACCTTTTAAGTAAACCGGTTTCATACGGTCGATGCTGACGGTGTCCTCGCGGCCTTTTTTTGCCTAAGAAAAAATTTATGCGTATGTTTAATGACTTCATATTGTCCGCCGTATGGGGGTTCCAGAGGGCGACGCACAGACTCATGATGAACAAAAACATGTGCAGATGCGTGCAACTGTTCCAGTAGTTACATCCTTGAGGAGTACTGACTCGTGCCATCATGTGAACCGGCCGATGCAGGTTAAAATATAGGTATATTCATGGGATTCTGGAAGGGGTCCAACCAAATCTATATGTAGGTGTTCAAAGCGAGCATCAGGGATAAGAAATGTGCCAAGAGAGCTGTCAATGTCCAGGTCTAACTACACTGGACTTGGAAGACTTTCAGGAACTATGCGTAATAACCAACGCAAAAAAAGAACGCAAATTGGTGACTCAAGAACCGTTTATTCTTGCACCAATATAGAGCCAACAATTAAGTTATTGTACACAAAGTCTAAGAATAAATGTTATAACAGTAAATCACGATAATACTTCTGATAGTTTTTTCTCCTCCGATGAACTGCGAACAATGAGACGATGACTGTCGTATTCCCGCGAAAAATATGGAGTTAGGTTTGAGCAAACAATCACGCATTGATCGTTCAGTCTTCAACTACGTTGACAAGGGCTTTTGGTGTCTCTTACTACCTTGCACTTTTGACAAGCTAAGCACGTGTGCGCCCATTCCCTTACTTCTTTACTTAAAGCCTGCCAAAAAACCGACTAGTTACGAGCTTGACGCTGGTTTCAATTCCTGGGTGGGACATGCCATGCAACATAGTGAAGAGGTTACGGCGATAACTCTTAGGCACAATGGGGAATGAGCAGTCGTGGAAAAGTCACATAGAATACTGTCTCTTCCCACACCTAAGGGTTTTCCGGCTAATTGCAGAGTTGTTTTCGACAACTCATGTTGGAGCTCAGCATCTTCCTTTTGAAGACCAACCAGTTTCACAGGGTCTATGCCGTAGATTTGGGTGAGGGAATAAATGCGCGACAAGGCATCTGCCACAGTGTTTTTCACTCCGGGTACATGTCAAATATCAGATGTAAACTGTGAAACGTAATCGAGTTGTCGTGATTCCCTAGGTGAATACTTATCTGAAGGTGAGTTTAGAGAGTACGTCGGAGGTTCGTAAAAATAATGAATTCACTACCCTCCACTGAATGTCGAAAATTACGTATAGCGCAGTACATAGCCAGAAGTTCTCTGCCGAAAGCGCTTACTTCGTTTCTGCTAACTGAAGGCGTCTCTTTCTCGAGGCGCCACTCTCTGTTAACCAGTTTTTACAGAACTTCGCAGATTGTAGTGTCTGACGCTTCAACCGAGATACATAAGGGTGCCGTTGGATCCTGATGCATCAGAAGTGTGACGTCCGCGACAGCTTTTTCAACCTGAGTGAAAGCATTTTGAGCAGCCACGTCGAGTTCGATGAACTTGTTATTCCCTTGAAGAAGGTCTGCTAATGACTGAATCAGAGAGGCATAATTGGGAATAAACCGTCGGTAATGACTTACCAAGCGTTGAAAGTTTGCAGACTTTTCACTGTCTGCGGTTCTGGAAGTTTCAGTATCGCTTCAACTTTACTAGCCAGTGGGCGAATGCCCTTGCAGTCAATGGTGTGACCCAGGAAGTCAACGCCTGTCTGACACTTTTGAATATTAATGATAACACCATGTTGTCGGAATTTTTCGAATGCCAAGTCCAAGTGTTTAAAGTGAGTTTCCTCGTCTGGAATGGCAATGAGGCAGTCGTCTAAGTATGCGTATACAAAGTCGAGACCGCAAAATACTTCGTCGATGAAGAGTTGGAATATTTAGGCTGCGTTTCGGAGACTGAATGGCATACACAGAAATTCAAAAGTTCCGAAAGGCGTAATGATAGTCTTTTTCGGAATGTCTTCTGTTCCCATCAGGATTTGGTTGCACGCTTTAACCAAGTCGATTTCCGAGAATATAGATGCACCAGATAATGGTGCCATCAAGTCGTGTATATGAGGCAACGGGTAGCAATCAGGGGTTGGTTCGGCGTTTACTCGCCGGTTATCACCAATGTTTAGCCAATCGTTGCTATCCTTTGTAGGCACCGTATGCAGTTAGGATGCCCATGGGCTATTCGATGGCCGAATGATTCCAAGGGTGAGAATATGGTCGAACTCATCTCTAGCGAGTCTCAGTTTGTCAGGAGCTAGTCGTCATCCTCTAGATGTCATGGATTGCCCTGAAGTTATGATGTGATGCATAACATCACTGGATATACACGTAGGGAGTAAAACGGGCAGTTAAGTTCCGGATATTTGTCAACAATGGGTCGAAAAGCTGGATCAAGGATTGCCTTTATCTTAACGGGTGACAAGCTGGGGCCTATGTAGGCGATGCCTTTGATGGACAGACTAGTAGTATTGTCAATCAGTCGTTTTCGGCGAACGTCTACGAGTAAATCATAATGATTAAGTAGGTCCGTGCCAATGATGGGCATGGCGACGTCGGCGAGAAGGAAAATCCAGTGAATAGGTTTGCGTAAACCCACGTTCAGATGGACGTATTTCTTACTAAGTGTTGTGACTGGTTTTCCATTTGCAGCCTGTAAGTTGAAGGTAGGTTCCTTCTGTCGATCTGCTGCTATAGAAGGAAGGACGCTGACTTCGGCGCCTGTGTCAACTAGGTGTCGTGTCTGGTTGACCATATCACGAATGTAAAGTAGGTGGATAGCGCCACTGGCGACGGTTGCCGCTAACGCGTACCGGCGGGATAGTTTCCCACAGACTTTGATACATTTCCGAAGTTACAAAGATTTCAGCAACATTTCGCTTCCTGGTCATAGGTGTTGTGGTACTAGTGCAACAACATAAGACAAGGGTCAGGCAAAAGATCATTCATTAAGGAAATCAACACATGTTTACAGATTTTCATGTATATATTATAGATTATTTGTCAATGAAGTTGAAGATTGAACGATCAATTTATGGTTGTTTGCTCAAAACCAACTTCCCCAATTTTCGCGGAGGCATCAATACACCAGTCTTCGTCTCATCGGACGGTGCTCAGAAAGAAGTCACCAGAAAACCGTCAGAAGTAATATTATGATTTATTATTGTAATATTTGTTCATAGACCTTAGATTTAAAGCTTAGTTTTAAAGTTGGCTATATGTTGGTGTTACAATAAAGAATTCTCGAGTGGCCAATCGGTGTTTTGGATTCTGCGTCCGTTATTACTAAGCGTTTCTGAGAAACTTCAAGGAACAGCGTCAGTACCAGCGTAGCATGAGCTGGGCATTGACGGTTTACGAGACGTTGCTGACAACCTGTCTTAGATTTCCCTTGGTACTACTTAGTTTTTGTACTCTATTATTTAAACATTTCACCAGTCCTACTTTTCACTGACCTATGATGGGATGATCGGAAATCCTAATATCGAAAAACAGTCTAACATTGGAAGCTCCCCTTCCTGACGTTCTAATTCTTAAGTGAACTGAACTGCCTTCACCTTTGAGTTAACGTGTTAGAAAAATCTATCTATATCCTGTGTTATAACTATAGTGAGTGTGTCATCTACATACCTCCACCATAGTTTTGGGGTGGGGCTGAACGTTTCAATCACTATCTTTTCCTACCTATCCACGAATATATCTGCCACAGCCGGGGATATGGTTGACCCCATAGAAACTCCCTCAGTTCGTTTGCATATTTTCCCCTGAAATTTAAATGCTGTGGAAGTCAGGCATAGCTGAACTCCCAGCATTATGTCCTCAAGTGGCACCTTCGTTCTAAGTTTGAGTTCTTGGTCAGAAATGAAGTGGATTAAGTGTTGAGACTAAGTGCATGTCACCAGAAAAAAGACGATGTAAACATGAACTTGAAAGGTAGGAAATACACTGCCTGAAAAAATTAGCATAGACAGTCTAATCTATAAATAAAGGTGGAACAAGCCGAGCGTTTCAAAAATAAAGGTGGGGGAGAAATTGGTTTTGTTGGTATTAGCCTGTAAGATTAAGTACATTTTTCTGATCATGTCACTTAAGTTGTACGTCCTCTTTAGCTGCCTTTCATGATAACATTAACGTATGAGTACTCCCTTGAAGTTTTGTCTTCTTTAGTTTAAATTGTAAGCTGCTGCCTAGTCTACAGTTTTCCGAAACTCACCGGAAAACTGAACCTGTTTTCAAACATAAAATAGTCACTATGCTAGACTCATCGGTTAAGAAGTGCCTTCCAAGCAGGAAGGTCATTCACGTATTTGGATGCCGGCGAAAATTGTTGTGCTACTGAACTGAATTTTAACTACTAGGTTTTGGCCTAATGACTTTAGTAGTAAGTTACTTTAATGTGTCATAGTGATACTCATTGTATTCAGCAACCTTTTCGTAATATCTTCTGCGTATAATAAACACTGGCAACCTCCATCAGGCATTTTATCTGATTTATTAAAATGTCATTCAGCGTTAGATGTGGCCACAATTTCGAAAGACAATACCCAAAAGTTTTGCAGTAATGGATTTATGAACATCTCATTACGTTTTACACAGAATGTTATATGACTTACAGTTTACTTCAGCTATATCTCTTCTAAGTCCCGAACAGTGAATTATTACTTCCTAAGAAATGTAACCTATGACTACTTTTTCTTTTAAATCCTGCAAAGTGTTGCGCACATACATATCTTTTCGCCACGATTTGTCAGTATTTCATCATTGTCTTATAAGGACGCACAAACTAGAATATATACTTAACTTGAAAGAGCACAAAATTCTCTACGGAAGCCTATCTCCTATCGATTTCTTTTAATGAGTTTGCTCAAAAACTTGATTTCAAAATTGTCATCAATGATAATTTATCAATAATAAAATTTATATTCTTGAAATTTTGCATGCACAAAAATACAGTAGTCTCATCACAGTTTCTCGAAAATTAGTAGCTTCTCGTAATGAGTATTGAAGTAGATAAGTGAAGAGTGTTTGAAGTAAAGCTCAATACAATACGACAATTCTCTTTCATTTTCTCATTGAAAAACCAAATGGTATTTCAGAAGCCATACAAAAATTGCGTTCCAATATCCAATATGTATCCAATATCGTTTCTGCGAGCTAGTATAAATCAATCCCAGTCAGAGAATGCACCTGAGCAATGTGCTCGCCTTTTGATTGTGAGGTAAAGATTCCTGGTCTTCGGTAAACTTCTGTGTAGTTCGTCTCGCCACTAGACTACCGTAGCCTTGGTTGACTACAAAACAAGTGGTGCTAGGATCAATTACATGTTGTTTATAGTATTCTGTATGTTAAGACTGTTACTGCTGTAAATGCAGTTGATCCTCTCGACAATTAGTCCTCCGGTATCGTCGTCAAAAAAGAGAGATAATAATAATAACAACAGATATGATCAGTGTCGATTATTCAGACTAAAAGACACAAAAAGATATAAAGAAAACGTAAAACAGACAACTGATTGAATTTGAAGTTGACATATATATATATAATGATAATAATAATAGGTGTAGTTAAAGTTGTTAGGAGAGTAAGACCTGATAGTATGTAGAGAAGTAAAGCGGCGAAATTAGTTGTCTACCTCTGAATGGTGTATGGGATTTTAAGGGGATAGGACATTTGGATGCAGTCCTTGTGTCGCCGCATGATTGTCCAGCCTTCGTTTAAACGTTGCCTTAGCTACATCAGCCAGTAAGGAGTTTCAGACACGGCAAACACGCAGTGAAAAGAAGTGGTAGAGCACCGAGGCTTTCGCCCTCTGGTGAACTGTCCTTCTGGGATTTTCACGAGCAAGCCCATGCCTACTCAATGACAGAACACCTTTGTTTGAATGGTTCTGGCCATTTGTTATCTTACGGACAGTAATCAGATCCTCCCTAAGCTGACGGTAGCTAAGTGTGAATATGCCTAATTTCTTTAGCCATTCATCATACGGTTTATTCCGGAGACCCACCACTCCTGTTGTTGCCCGTCGTTGGACTCTTTCCAAGAGTTTGCGTCTTTTCTAAGCAATGAAGGTGCAATGATATCATGCATTTCAAGATGTGGTCTGATTTACGCTTTGAACAACCTTAGAAGGAGGTTAGAGGCGATTGCACCTAACTGTCTATGTGTAAAGTGTATGACCGCATATTCCCTCGCTACACCCCCTGTGCAACTCAAGCTTGTGTCCATTTTTCCGTTAGAACCAAACCTAACTCACGCTCCGACGTTGTGCGGGACAACCTTTTGTTGCACAGGGTGTGACTGGAGTTCTGTAGCCTACAGGTGTGCAGTTCACTACTTTGCACCTTTTCAGGTAGGAAGTCACGCCATTGGCCACCGCCCAGTCTTCCAGGAGTTTAGGCCTGCCTGCAGCTTATCTGAGTCTTCCAAGCACTTTATTGCTCTCCATACCTTTACGTCGTCAGCGTATAGAAGAGTTGGGTAGCTTAGACGGCATGGCAGGTCACTGATAAAAATCAAAGCATCAGTGGCCCTGCGATAGTCGGTGCGACACTCCTGATGACGAGCTGTGCCGAGATGATCAGACTCGATTGACCTTGGTTCAGGATTTCCTTGCAGCTAAGTAGTCTGTAGCGGTAAATAATTCCCCAAAATTATTGACCATAGCAATCATCACTGAACATTGGATACTGACCCTTAGAGTTTAAGTCGACTTGCTTAGCTGAAGGCTTCCGGTCAAGCATCCTCGCCATTTGGTACTCCGTCGTGTCACTTTCGTGCACGACCACTAGCCAGCTTAGCTTTCGCTTCAGTTCACGATTTGGTTCCGAAATAAATCCCGTACTTTGGAAGATCAACTCTGGTCTTTTGCTTTGCCTTTGGTACATGAGAAACGAATACTGTAGAAGTTGTTGATATAAGATTTTGCGTTGGTATATTCCGTACAAACCGCAAACGTCATTACCGTCAACCTCAAAACTGGTGAGCCCAACCGCGAACTTCATCTCCGATAAATACGTAGATAACCCCGGTGAGTTCGTTCCATTTTGTATTTGTTCTTGTGCTATATTGTAATCGGCATACACTTCGTCATGAGTGATCTTAGTACCAAGGTCATTCGTATTCATTCATTTGACAAAACCGTTCAGGGCTTACCATATTGGCCAAATAATACGGAAACGTGGTTTCAGATAGCTGAGTCTGATTTTTGTGAGCATTGGATAACCGATCAACGTTCACAGTTCCTTGCAGTTATTCACACCCTGCCGCGGGAATCCAGCAAGTGCATAACTGTGCAGATGTTGAGACCCGAGGTAAGTAACTCGTACGAGTTGCTTAAAGCATCCCTCCTCAGGAGAAACGTTCTCACAGATTGACAACGTCTGGACGAATTATTTCGTAACATCGAGTTGGGGGATCAGTCAGCCGTGAGCATGCTGACAAGAATGAGAGAGGTTATTGGCCAAAGTCAGTTTGATGAAGGACTTTTCAGAGAACTCTTCTTATCCAAGCTGTCACAGTCCGTGCAGACTGTACTTGTGACAATTCAGGGTGTTATTTTAGACGAGTTAGCTGTTTCTTCAGATAAGATTCTAGAAGTAAGTAAACGGTCAGTTCCTGAAATACACGCGGTGGCCAAACGGACTTCGAGTAAGGATACTGCAGTGATACAGTTATGCAACTCAATCCAGCAGATGCTTAAGTCAAACATACATTGCAATCCCTCTTACCGTCATCCGAACTCTCCTCAACGGTGAAACTCACGTGGTCGATCTAAGTCCAAGCCACGTTCACTGAAAAACCCTGACTGGTGCTGGTATCACAACACCTATGGCAACGAAGCGAAATGTAGCCGTAAACCTTGTAACTTCGGAAATGTATCAAAGTCTGTGGGAAACTATCCCGCCGGTACGCGTTAGCGGCAACCGTCGCCGGTGGTACTAGCCGCCTAATTTACATCCATGATGTGATCAGCCAGACTCGATATTTAGTCGACACAGCCGCCGAAGTCAGCGTCCTTCCTTCTATAGCAGCAGATCGACAGAAGGAACCTACCTTCAACTTACAGGCTGCAAATGGAAAACCAGTCACAACACTTAGTAAGAAATACGTCCATCTGAACGTGGGTTTACGCAAACCTATTCACTGGATTTTCCTTCTCGCCGACGTCGCCATGCCCATCATTGGCACGGACCTACTTAATCATTATGATTTACTCGTAGAAGTTCGCCGAAAACGACTGATTGACAATACTACTAGTCTGTCCATCAAAGGCATCGCCTACATAGGCCCCAGCTTGTCACCCGTTAAGATAAAGGCAATCATTGATCCAGCTTTTCAACCGATCGTTGATAAATATGAGCATTAATCAAGTCACAAACGATGAACACTGTGACAATATATTAAACTTCATGTACCACAGCATCACATGTTACATTTGAGGAACCGAAAGATTCACAACAACACACCTGATTTTAAGACTTCGCAGTGCTTCTTGGTCAATGGAGCTTCATTTTGCAAGGTAATTATCCGTTACTGCTGGAGTCTCACCGACCATGTACATGGTCCGGGCTTCGATCCTCTGATGACACACAACTGATTTGAATTGTCCGTATGCTAAATTTGGGCTACCGATATCACATGCTGAAAATTGCACAGTTGTGCCAAAATACTGTGTGGAATCAAGCTATGGTAAATAAAATAAATATATACACATATGTTAAGACAAGATTACTCCGTCATCTGTGGCTGCTCTGACTACCTCCTCTGGTATCCATAATGGAGTTACTACTCTGGTGCAGCAATATCCAGTTTCTGTGGATGATGATATGAACATGGCTTAGCTGACACCGCCGATCGCATTTGCAAACGAAGGTTTGAACAAGGACGGAATATAGTGGAGCAACCATAAACTGATCGGATAACAAGCCGAGCTTGCGGTGGCTGCAAATTGCTTGACAGATAGAAATCCATCTACACTAAACAAAGAGCTAGACTAAGGACATTAGTGACTACCCAGTTTCCAATAAAAGCATCCAACTCAATCATACTGAAGGCTCATCGCCAGCCCAGATAAGTCAATGGCAACGTCACTGACTGCGGCACTGGGTAAAACGGGTTCACATCCCATAGGCGACATGGGTTCCTTCAAGTTTGCAATGACGCCTTGCTAACGAATTCCATCAAGCACGAAACTTAAGTCCAGGGCTTTTACCGACTACCCCCAACCATAAATTTACAGTGGTTCAGAATGCAAATTACGTGATTTGTCATGCCTATTGTCCTTTTCAAAAGTATGCTTCGTGGGAAGTAACAAACCAAGAGGAATTAGCAGTAGTTAGGGTGGCGTCAATAAAACCAGGTCCATGAAATTGAGGAAGTGTCTTATCCCATATTAGTTCGTTTATTTGATATATCACACAGTGAAAGTGTTATCTACGGGATCCAGTGAATGATACTGTTTCACTGTGTGATGCATCTAATAAGCAAACTAATATGGAATTACTTACTAATACAGTGTCCACGTTTTTCACATATGTTGAAGCATTTCATCCATTTATTGCTGGCAGTGCTATAATATGTTGTATTTGGCTTACTGTTCCACTTAGACTCATTCTTGCCGCCCCTAATCTAACAAGTTCGTCCTAAAAATACGTTTAAACATTTAGTGTATTAGTCGACAGGTGAAGGTTTCTATGCGGTAAAAAAACTTTGCCCCGCGAGCTCAACGCTGATCTTAGCAACTTACGTAAAGAAAGTGTAACCAATCAATCAAGAATGATGACTTGATGTATAAAGCCCCAAATGCAACTACGTTGATAATGGAAACATTTAGGTACACAAAATTCAAGGATAAGAAATCCAACGGGGGCCCAGCGCTGACTGCTGATAACGACACAATCTAAGCGCTAGGAAAAGGCAAAGGCAATGGCAAAACTATTTTTACAGAGTCCCCACCCAATAGTCAAGACACTGCATACCATCTTCTCTGGCCGCATTAGAGAAATGCCAATTAAGTTTCCTTGACATTGGCCTCGACATCTGTCAATGGAGTTGAAGATTGAACGAGCAATTCTTGGTTGTTTGCTCAAATCAACTTCCCCAATTTTCGCGGAGGCATCAATACGACAGTCATCGTCTCATCGGTCGCTGTTCAGAAAGAAGAGTGAAACATCGTCAGAAGTAATACAGAGATTTATTATTGTAATATTTGTTTTCAGACCTTAGTTCGCTTATTCCTTTTATATGTTGGTGTAACAATAAACAAATCTAAAGCGGCAGATCAGTGTTTTGGTTTTTGCGTCCGTTATAACTAAGCGTTTCTGAGAAATCTTCGAAGAACAGCGTGGGCCCGAGCGTAGCGAGAGCTGGGCATTAACGGTTTATGAGACGTGATTGACAACATCGCATTTTAATCTCTGGGGAAACCAGAATCAGGTAGATCGACAGGCTCCGATGACCTTCACCCAAAGCTCCTCATGGAGGTTGCAGCTCACACAACCGGCCCACTGAATACTATCTTCAAACCCTCCTGAATAGAATGTTGCTCTGAGCCATAGTGCCACGCATCCACAAAGGAGGATCAGGACAGTGTGCTTCAGACTACAGGCCTATCAGTCTCACCAGCGAGTTAATCAAAATACTTGAAAGAATCATCAAGGAAGCTATCATGGTATATCTGGAGCACAGATCGTCATCCGAGGAGGCCTCTAATGCCTGTCAAATCTTACGCAAACAGAAATGCTGAGTCAAGCCAGGGGAAGGCAGAAGAGCCGTTGACGTTAAGTTCGTACACTTCAGCAAGGCCTTCTATAAAGTGCTTACGAACTAAGAAAGTCTTGGAATTCAGTGTGGCTTACTAAGCTGGATTAGGGAACTACTCATAGGTAGGAGAAAGACAGTCAATCTCAACTCAACTCTCCAGTACGTCATGGAGTGACACGAGCCACTATTCGAGCCCCTCTTATTCATTTTTTATATCAATGAGTTACGTATGCTCAATGATTCCCTCATGGACCTTTAATCAAATGACCTAAAATGTTTGCAGAGAGCCGAATTCCGACAGTCACATGCTTACATCGCAACGAAATCTCAACGAATTCTATGTATTTTCAACGAAATGAAATGCGAAACCACACGCAATGAGCACGCAAGCATCAGCTGATACAAACCAGATGCGATAACGATCCCATCATCTAAGACTTATATGGATCTAGATGTCATAATAAGTCCCGACTAAACAAACCATAGCACACTATCAATATCATGAGCGGGTATTGGCTACAAATCAGCCAATGGGAGTAACCCAGATGTACTTCCTCAACCAATGACAGTTAACTTTTGAGAACTGCGTTACAATGAATCTTAATTAGTGATTAATAATACATCATTTCAAATAATATACTCTTTTAATATAAACAATCAATTAAATATACTTTTACTATCTAAATACATCACCAAAGGCCCCTCTCTCAGAAATCTTTTACTGCACTGAAATCCTTCGAAGCGGGTGAATCCACAATTTGTATTTCCACTGCTGTGAGTTGTCTGCGTGCTTGTCAACCTTCTTTTTTACGAATTTTTCCAAGTAATTACTTGCACACTTATATGTTTTATATTGCAAATATAACAGTACTGGCCATTTTTATTGTTAGGCATAGCGTATAAGTTGTGTAGACCGCAGGAATCCGTTTTTTAACCGTTTTTCCGATTTCTTCCAGGTAACATGAGCTCCGTCAAGCATCACTAATACACTAAATGACAGCAGACCACCAGCTAGTGTCGAACCATAACTTTGAATAACAAAAATGATGACAGAAGAGAAAGACGGGGGGCGGAAAAGAACAAAACGGTTATGAAAAATATCTTTGAAAAGGCCTACGTCTATTGAATACCAATCGCAGCACACAATTTTCCTGCATCATTTGTACTAACGGTTTATTCGTTTGATCAAGTTTACATTCAAGTTGAGCAAATTTGTAAAGTAATCCATTATGAGACCAGTTTAATTCAGACGTCATAGATGGTAAGCGACTATCAAGATACTTACTTAACGCTTCAATTGGTATATGTGGTGAATGCGCAGTTTCTTCTAGTTTCTCTGTATTAACGGTACTAGGATGACGATCAGACGTATCTATCGGCATCGGCGGTATACTTTTCTTATCTTCTAATATTGGATCATACGGATGATTTGTAAGCGATTTCAATGATGATGATGCTGATGACTTCTGGTTTATGCTATCAGCAGTATCACTGTCTATCAGTAAACTTTGATCTAATAATGATCGATTTGAACTAATAATATTGGTGAGTGGTTTTGATTCTGGTTGATCGAATACATGAGGCATTACTGACCATCTTGTTAGTGATTTAGTCTGTTCTGTTTTTCCCGTTGTTTTTGTTGTATTGTATTAGTTAATTCGCTTAAAGGTTGACGAATTTGGCTATTACTACATGTTAGGTGAGTACTATTCATTGATGTACTGTAAGAATTTTTATTGGTTATTTGAGAAGTTGATAAATTGCATAATGTATTATTATTATTATTATTATTAATAAAGCCTACGTCATTTAGATCAGCTCGTAAAGTGGATGAGAATGAAAGTAGACGAATAGAATGATTACCTGATCCAATAGAGATACAATGAATTGGTGTAGACATATTCTGTACATTATATAACCATACTTCACCATTTACTAAACCAGTTGCAAGAATATGCGTTCTTGAAGCGACATCAATACTTAGATAACCGTGTTGTTCATCCACTGGTGATAAACATGTGACAGGTTTTTGTTGTTGTTGTTGTTTCTGTTGACCTGATGTCGACAGTATATACCACACAGGCAAATTTAAATCTGGTAATCCTGCACTATACAATAATTGATCATCATTCGATGAAAATGCAATGCGTATACAACCTTCATAATAATCTTTGAATAACTTTGAATCATCAACTTTATATTTCATATCCTGTGGTGCATTGTTTGAAATGTGAACTCTAAGCTGTATTTTTCATAATTTTTACTTATCTTTGTTCTTTTGGCATTGGTTTTTTCCCTTTATTTATTTACTTTTTTGATTGTAAAAGTCTTATAAAATTTATGAGGTAATTAGATGCAATATATTGTAATGCATGCTGAAAATTCCATACCTGTACCACAAATACCGTTTGGAATAAAGCTGTTAATATTATTATTGTTATTAAACTGATTTCATTCATACTTGTAGCTAAAGATTTAACATCCCAATAATTTAAAATGTAATTGTTTGTATCACCAGTAACTGGCTATTGTATATTCCATAAGATTATAGAACCATTAGATTAACCACAGCATATGAGATGGCCATTAAATTTAGAAGTTTATAACATACAACATTTAGGTAGGGAAGTAACACAACCTTTGACCTGTGAATATTGACAAGGGAAAGGTAATACGATGTTTTCACATCGACCATTAGTACTAGTTTTATCCGAAGCTGCTAAGAATAATACAATAGAGCCATTATTATATCCAGCAGCAATAATACGATCATTTAACACCCAACTAATACACTTGGGTTGTAATTCATTAGGTAATATATTAAATGGATGTAGATTAGTATAGCGTAATTGACATCGTAGTGTTATTTGCTTATTTCCACAATTATAAACAATTATCAAACCAGTATTAATGCCAACAGCT